TATATAGTATCATTTTTTCATATTATGTTTTCCATCGTAAAGTTAAAAATGTTTCTAGAAGTAGTTTTTTCTAAGTGGGCACTTAATAAAAAGTTATTTCTTTAAATAAAATATAGAGAAGTTTTCACAAATGAAATGGAAAAAGCAGTGCTTCTTGAGTGGTACTTATGTGGCCCTGTAAAACGCTTCGAGAGCGTAATTAGTTCGCCATTAGCTTAATATATTGGCACTCTAGTGCTACTCGTACCATTTAAGAGCAAACAAAAAATCAAACTCTTAATTTAGTATAAACTTGTTAAATTATAATGTATATTACTTAACAACAACAATAAATAACGACCTTGCCTATATATGAAAATAATAATGAATTGTGCTGATAATTTAATTGGAAAGCAATATTGATATAATAACAATAAATATTTAAATTGTACTATAACATATAAAATAATATGATAACCTTTTTAATTTTAACAGTTTCTAATAGGAATTGCGCATCAAAATGCAGTAAAAATTACAAACCACAGGCAAATGATACGAGTGCTTCAGCAGCGTTCGATCAGCCGTCAGCGCATAACCAAATTAGAGCAATGTAAGCCAGGAAATTGGAAATGCTATCGGGCACCCGATGGAACGGCTCCACTGGTATTTCAGACATCCACCGTTTCGGCGGCCCTAGCTTTAATGTCAGAACAATGCACGAATCTGGACAGGCAGATCCGAGCGGCGCCGAAGATAAACGACAATCGTGGATCGTTGTAACAACTGATTGATATACGGCCTCCAATGATACCGTATCTATAGTCTGGTTAAGCCGAATTCCGGACCCGCCTCAGTTACAGTTCGAGTGCTGCTGACAGTAAGCGATGTTTAGTTACTGATGCAAGTGAGTTAGAGTCGTTTTGCTGTTGATAGCGAAACGCTACTCTTACGATAATGGGGTTGCGTATCTATTAGAAAATCTATACATATAATAAAATTGTAACTAAGCTGAATCTGTACGTTAAATATTTTTTGGAAAATCTTATTGAAATAGACATTATTATGGATGCAGAGGCCGAATCTATAGTTTTTAGAATGTTTGTCTGTCTGTCTGTCTGTCTGTTATCGCATCACAGAAAACCACTGGAGGGGTTTTGATGAAATTTGGTATGGTGATAGCTGGTTATCTGGGTCAACATATAGGATACTTTTTATCGCGGGAAAACATCTCATATCTGAGAAAAAATACAAAAACTGCAATGTAAGAGTATACTAATATATAAAACCTAAGAACTTGGTTTTTGGTCACCTAAACGCGGGCGGAGCCGCGGGCAAAGCTAGTATATATTAAAATTCTTGATTGACTATGTAATATATCACGTTTTTATAAGATTTATTTGTAACTAAGTATGTAATCTAAGAAATGGATTTATATCTAATTCTAATAGTGGCATAAACTTGAATTTTTTGAAGAAATAGTTTGATACTATCGAGCTGATTTGATATCGATCCAGCAGATTTTATGGTTTATAATGGTTATTTTTTTATTCTGTGCTTATTTTTTAAATTACTATTATGTATTAATATATCCAATAAGGTATAGGTTAGATAACCAATTTTTTAGATACATATAGAAAACTAATTTTCCCACGCAATAATATGTACTCGTTGTATATAGTATATTTTGGAATCATATAAATCTCATTGAGTTGAAATAAAATAGAAGGCTTTCTATAGCATATCAGCACGGGAAAGCTCGTGTAACTCGTCAATACTCCGTTCAAAGTTAATATAATAGCAAGTAATCGTAGAACTTGCTAAGGCAGCACATGTCTTGCGTACTAGTTACAGTGAAGGCAACGGTCAGACTTTGGGCTCGCTGGACGGGTAAAACAATAGCGAATCAAGCATGCCACGGAACTTTCTCAAAGACATCCTCTTGTGCGTGTGGCGCTAAGCGAACACCCGCTCACTAACTTTATATTGGTTAGGAAACTTCATCCTTAGTCTCGATCATTGATTCTATAACATATATATATATATATATATATATAAGTATAGAGCAAGAAAGTATTTACATGTTAAAACTTGGTAGATAATAAATTATTTCTTGTTAAACTTACACGGCAGCCGTTTTAAGTATATCTAAATAAGAAAAGTAATCTTATAAAAAGATAGCTAAATGAAATTGCGGCGAATAAACTGATTAATGTTTTTTTTCTCGTTTGTAAATCTAAAAATAATATTCGTAAAAAGAAAGATATCTTGTACTTAAATATCTCTGGAGAATTTCTTCTAAATAAAATTGTCCGCTTAGCATTAAATATAAGATCGTTTTAGCGAGGTAGATAGACAGTAAAGGCGGCATACATTTTCATGAGACAGAAAAATAAAATATTAGCAATTCGTGGTGAAATTGAGAACCAACTGTGCGTTCTGCCAACGAATCCTGGCGGACGTGGAAATTGCACGGCCGAAAGGCCATAAGTGATCACAAGGATGCTGGAAAATATCACTTTCTCTCTGAGTTTTAGGAATTAACTTCGAAAACAACAACTCCTTAATCGGTGTAGGCTTTTGAGATTACACCGGTCGTTCGGCTAATTAATTTTTAAGTCGGCGTCTTGATGCCACACCCGACATTCGACTTTCGAGTGAATTTGACTACGATTTACATATTAATATTCTGAACACAAATATTTTATTTTGTGGATTACATGTTTTACTTTACAGTTAAATATGTGTACTTTCGAGGAAATAATCATTTACTTTACGACTAATAATTACCAAATGGGTCAGTTTCATGAATAAAAGTCCTAGTTGTAATAGTTTATGTGGTTACTTAAAACGTTTAATCATAGTACCAACTAACAATACGTTAAACTCTTTAATATACAAATCGTAAAAACAAATATTGTTAAAGTGCTTAGACAACTACAGCTCACGTACCGATTTATTCATGTGACAGGGACGGTTGTATCGTGACGAACAAAATTTGCGCCAACCGTTCGAGCTATAAATCTGATGTTTCCTAAATCCTTGAAAGGGCACTGTTGAACAGCTTTCATCAGAAAATTCTCCATTATTTGAAGGAAATCGTTACCGGGGTTCAACCTCCCACCCTGCGGCCCCGACCCGACGGGCTTTCATTTACGACGACGTTGCGTGCACGCGTCCCCGCGGCCTTTGCTTCAGGTGGGCGTAGTCATTGTATTCAGTATTTAAGTGGCTCATTTGATATTCTGAGACAGTTTGCATTCGGAAAGCTCGCACGTGGGGAGAGCTAGGACGGTATCGAGACGTCGAAGTCACGCACACAGCCAGTTGCGTATCGTACCTGAACTCGAACCTCGAATAACCAGCACGGATGCGATCGTCCATGACACGGCCCGGGTTACACATTTACGATGCGATATCGCGGTCCCCACGCACACGGACGTAGCGTGGATTATTCCGAGTTTGCGCAATGTTTATCCACAAATACACTAATGAAGGTACCTACAAAAGCGACTAGATTGTTAATTAAACTTGCTCAAAATGTGACACCCTTACGAAATGATGTCGACTCGAGAGCACAGTGCACGGCTTGAATGTTATTGAATCAATTTGTACTCAGAATTCTCGGTGTACGCTCTAAGTAGATTCAATAATGGCCTTCATTTATTTATCTTAGTTGGGTATACACTTTAGGCTTTTATGGGATGTTACGCGTTTTGATTATCCTATCGGCTGTGGGAATTCAATATCTTATATTAATTATAATGTATATTTAGTATATTAACTTGCGTTGACGCCCTTCGATATAGTCTAATTTGAGTTCATAACTGATAGCGTCTCTATTTATATGTGCTTGCTTCCTGTAATAACTATTATATATTGATTATTTGGAAAAGATAGTATAAAATCCGTATTTAATATCAAATAATGTATTAAACTCAAACCTAAATCAATAATTACAGCGTTATTCGACTTTCTTCCGAACCTCATTTCTATTTAAAATAACAAAATCGTGGCAACACAATGTACATAGACAAAAAGTAATTCAAAAGACGCCATCATTAGGCCGCCAACCAAAAGGAATAACCATTCGCTTAATCATTATTCTTAAAGACTCTTCATAAAATTCGTTTTATCTCTCCCGGGATATTTCCTTCGTTCGGCATCAATCACATTCACTCCGAAAAACTCGTTGGCTTTATTCTAAACTCTCATAATAGGTAATGAAGGTCTTGATCGTCGCGGGCGGCTGGCTTGGGCCGATTACTTTGAGAGCCAGCACAATGACTGCCGCCTGTAGCCAATTCTGAAAAGTTCCTTAGTCACAATCCATGCTAGATACGAAGCTAATTACGACGAAACTTTTGTAGATAGACACCTGTTCTGAGTCGAGAATGCCAGACAAAGACTTGAGTTATCGCAGACTTACAGGCATAGACATCCTGCCATCTAAATTTATACTTTAAATTATGTGTTTAAGAATCGTTTTTGTAAGTTAACTAGACGATAGCTTGGTGTTAACATGATTTGTATTCAATTTTTATATGCATAAATTATTTTACTAATTAAAGTATGTACTATAGATAGTCTAAATACTTTTATGATACTATGATCGTTTTTGAAATAAGTTTAATAAATAGAAAAGTTATAAAGTGCTAACATTAAATGTTAACATTATCAGAGGTTTAACGTTTTTCCTAACATAACAATGACCGTAGAAAGTATTGTGGCAACGTGGCATTGTCAGCTTTCATTTACTTACCATTTAATAGCTTTTTTATCATCATGATATTATTGATAATACTATTTATTATTACTATTTTATTAATAGTTAGTGGAATATCTTGTTCTGTATTAAATTATAAATTACTTCGGTCTTCTAAGATTTGTTTCATTTAGTACCTACTTTTGGAAAAAAATCGCAAAAGAATTGAGAAAGTGCTTTGATATTGATGGTCGAATGATGAAATATAATAAAAATTAATAGTCAATTTTTTACTAGAAATATAATAGATAAAACTTACCGGTCCAAACTGTTCGAAGTAATTCTTTACATCTTCCAGCGTTGTGGGTGCTGATAGCCCTCCAACGAAGATTTTCTTCGTCCTGGTAACCATCTGAAAAAAGCGCATTATTTTAATATTTTGAAACATTAAAATATAATTGATATTTAAGCAAAAATGTTTTTCTTATTTATATAAAGAACTTCTATATTATATAAATTTTTGCTTCTCCCTTGTGATCTACGTTAAACCAGTTACTAATCAAATTTCCCTAAAACTTTGAATATCTGTCACTCAAAAAGAAATCCACAAATCTTTTTCTATAACACAGTCATATAAATAAAACATAAAATCTTCTACTTTATTTCTACGATAAACAATTTTCATATTATGAATACGTACTTGGAAGTGAAATAATAAACTTTTAAAATGATATGAATATCGAATGAATCTATTATTGATGACATTGTTTTATTTTCAATAAGAACTACAGTAAAAAAGTATAAGATATGCAGAAACGTCGAGATTTCAATTGTCTACCTCTAATAAAGTAATCAGAATGATGCACTGTAAAGATAAAAGCTCTCATTTTCTCGTTTATTCCATAAGTCTGTAGCAACCAATGAATTATTGATTTGCAGTCTGTATAGAGTGGGCGTTCTTAACTACCAATTCTAATATTTTATATTTTCTTTTCATTTTCTTTATAATTCATAATATAGATTGTATATAAATAAAATTTTCAATAATTGAACTTATACGAGAATATCTGTGTCCGTCGGCTAAATCAACAAAAAATGCTCAAAAATAATGAATGAATGAGTGAACATGAGATGAATTGGTTACATACACCGTGTATATTGTCTATGGGATAGACGATTTGATGTAACTTAAGAAGACTATTACTTAGTGCTTGAAAGGATAAGAGTAAATAAAGTTAACCCTTGGGATAGTGGATAGAGATTTGTGTAAATATTCCTATGGAGTACGGAAAACTTACTTAACTTACTTAACTACTAAACTTGGCCTGACCCGGGACTTGAACCCAGGACCTCCAGATGTGCAGCCGTACATACTAGCTACTACACCACCGAAATAATTGTCAAAATAATAATAATGAAATACAAAATCTTGTTATGATTATATTATATTTTTAAATTCAACACTGAACGTGTCTAAGTGGCAAATTTTTGTCCAAAACACTCTGGTTTAACGTAGATCACAAGGGAGAACCCTTGTGATCTACGTTAAACCAGTTACTAATCAAATTTCCCTAAAACTTTGAATATCTGTCACTCAAAAAGAAATCCACAAATCTTTTTCTATAACACAGTCATATAAATAAAACATAAAATCTTCTACTTTATTTCTAGGATAAACAATTTTCATATTATGAATACATACTTGGAAGTGAAATAATAAACTTTTAAAATGATATGAATATCGAATGAATCTATTATTGATGACATTGTTTTATTTTCAATAAGAACTACAGTAAAAAAGTATAAGATATGCAGAAACGTCGAGATTTCAATTGTCTACCTCTAATAAAGTAATCAGAATGATGCACTGTAAAGATAAAAGCTCTCATTTTCTCGTTTATTCCATAAGTCTGTAGCAACCAATGAATTATTGATTTGCAGTCTGTATAGAGTGGGCGTTCTTAACTACCAATTCTAATATTTTATATTTTCTTTTCATTTTCTTTATAATTCATAATATAGATTGTATATAAATAAAATTTTCAATAATTGAACTTATACGAGAATATCTGTGTCCGTCGGCTAAATCAACAAAAAATGCTCAAAAATAATGAATGAATGAGTGAACATGAGATGAATTGGTTACATACACCGTGTATATTGTCTATGGGATAGACGATTTGATGTAACTTAAGAAGACTATTACTTAGTGCTTGAAAGGATAAGAGTAAATAAAGTTAACCCTTGGGATAGTGGATAGAGATTTGTGTAAATATTCCTATGGAGTACGGAAAACTTACTTACACGGATGTCGATGCTTTATACTAGCGTTTGTTATTAAATTAACTTTATATAGTTTAATTTGCATCATATAGAGATATAAATATAATGACAGGTAAATAGGTACATATACATTATACATATGTATTACAAAAATATATTATAATTGAATATACTAAGAGCTTCATAAATAATAATAATCTTCTCCCGACCGATTTTGGGCACGGCGGCCAATCACATTGAGACTAGCCAACTGCGCAGGAGATATTATAGTGCACAAGTGTAAGCGCAGACACAAGTGCACTCTCTATTCCTGTCACTCTCATACTCCGGTGAGACGACTGCTCGACACGACCAGTGAGAGTAAGGCGCAGGACCGACGGCTTTACGTGCTCTGTGAGGCACGGGGATTACACACCGCCAACTCAACTCCAGACTATTACTTATTAAGCAGAAAGAGTCAATAACTAAACTTGGCCTGACCCGGGACTTGAACCCAGGACCTCCAGATGTGCAGCCGTACATACTAGCTACTACACCACCGAAATAATTGTCAAAATAATAATAATGAAATACAAAATCTTGTTATGATTATATTATATTTTTAAATTCAACACTGAACGTGTCTAAGTGGCAAATTTTTGTCCAAAACACTCACTGTTGTTTAATTTACGTTTAATATCTTATTTACCTTGTAATAAGTACGAAAGTATTTTTTTATATAATACTAATGATTTCTGTAATATTATGTATACTTACAGATGTAATTTTCTGTATTAAAGTTGAACTACTATAAACCCTGCGACCCTTACATCAAAAAGATGAAATAATAAACTTTCACAGTATATATCCGTACAAAGTTCACTGCAATTGGTACAGGCATGATTTACTTGATAAAATGTAAATAAAGTAAATATTTAAATTGACTCAAACAAAAGCCTGCACTGAGATGCCAATATTAAACAGAAATGTAGCAGGAAATAAAAATTGAATAAGAGGCATTCATTAATGAGATTGTAAAGGGTAGCCTCCTGGGACCGAGTGTCAGGTTCGCCGTTGGCCACGTCAGCCGAAACTGTTGGCAATTATCTTAAATGTGGACAACGCAGTTCATTCCACGGGGAAAATTATTATTCACCGCATATTCAATTTTTGCTTCGTTCTAAATTGTCATCGGCTACCTATAATTGCCTAGATTCATCGTCGCACCGGGTCACCAAGAAATGGGAAGTTTAATAATTCGATTTTATTATGAAATCATCATTTTCAATAGATTTAAAAAGTAAGAGTGTATTTTTTTTGGGAAAGAAATACCTCTACATAATATATTACATTTTATTTATTATAAGCAAAATAAAATTTAAACTTTAGGTACAAAGTTTTGGTACGTGTCACGCAAATAGTTCGTCTAGCGTTTGGAGAAATGACAATACTGTTCTCTCTTTAACTGCATTTGGATACTTGCAGTCATTTTGTAGTAAAAATACAAAAATTTAATTTAGTCTAACTTGGGCACAGAGAGCAAACAGTAACAGCCACAGGGATGGTATACACATCAATTACAGAATACAGTGGTCGCCTGTACCTTTGAAAGAGCGAGCTCGAAGTTACTCAAACTCAATTCATAACATGTCGTTGACAGTGCATGGTGCACTAAAAATTTTTTACATTCTCCCCCATATGACAACTTTTCACCTAAAAGCAGTATGGATAGAGATTTGTAGAGCAAAGTTTTGGTCGGAATTCTTAAAACTCTTATTATCTTATATCATGGTTTGTAAAAAAGTATTTTGAACGCATTAAATGCAATAAACATAATTCTTCATTTCAAATTATACTTTTTGGCTATATAAAAATGAACATGTGATATATTAGATTATTGCACACAATTAGTTTGAAAAACGAGTTATAATTTCAATTGAAATTTATCACTGATCCGGACTTGAAAAGAAATGCTCCAGAAATAGTTCTTCTAATAAATAACATCTTCAATATATATCAACGGAATTAGAAGTGACTAGATTTTATGAATAGAGATCGGAATTACTAGAATAATACTGCATTAAGTAAGTATACAACATTGACTCGTGCCCAGCGAACGCTTTACTAAGATAGGGTAGTCGTGTTATCTGTTTCACAGCTCATTAGCTTTCGCACGGGCATCTGCCAGCGGATCTTTACCATTTGTAGCAGTACAAAGACCACATAGAAGGCAAATGGTGATTTCGAGGCTTAAGTTACAAGTCTGTTCGGTTCAATTGCAGACGGGAGCGCGACATGGAATAAGTACCACGATTCTGGAGCACGACATCAGGCGACAGAAGACAGTAACCGCGTACGTTCTAAATGGCAGACAATAACGAAACATTATTACTTCTCCGCTTCACTAACGCTTGCACGGTATTAATTTGTCTTGATCTGATGATCCGTGTCTATCGTGTAGCAGACTACATAATTTCTAGAGCATCTAAATTTAGATCTGTAGAGCATTGTTATTTTAAGTTTCATATACGTGACTCTACATGAATGGAAGACTTGACACGTATCGCGGTCTGATATGAATGCTTGTATTGAAATTAAATAATGAAATAGAAATGGTTAAAATATAAGATACATTATAAATTAGTCTGAATATACTTTCACTACCAAATAATTTTATTTAATATCTTTTAAAGTATGCACAAACAAGTAAATGTAAAAGAAAAAGAATGCATGTAAATGAACGAAGTTCAGTATTACTTCGTGAACTGAATAAATAACGTCAGATCGATGTGTTGATAAGGCTAAAGTTAAAAAGAATTTGCACCCTGGTTGAAATGGATTATTTGTGAATAAAATTGAGTTTTATATAAAAAATATTATTATTCTAGGTTATTAAATTGATATGTTTAGACAAAGTATGCTTACTATTCTAGTATATTTTAAAGTCCTTACCTTAGCTTTAGCCTAAGAATAGCTTTGGACGACATCCCATGAGGAACTAAGGACCGAGATAAAAAGCAACCTACGAGTACATTAGATTCAGATTCATAAACAATTTGTGAGCTAAATTCATATCTTTTCATTGCAGGAGGAGTTGAAGGGAAAACCACAATTTCCAGTCAGCATCTACGCGCTGTATTACATATAAAC